CAGCTCTGCATTGTGCCCCTCGGGAGCCCCAGGGTCAGACTGAGGAATCCTGTTGATTCATAGATAGCAGAGAGAAGGCTCCGTTACCCTGTGGCCTCGGGCTCTTGGGAAGGGCCAGTCTCTTTCATCTGGGCATATTGGAAATGGGAGGCATAGGTAAGAGGCAGACAGGTCCTTCCTTGGGCAGCTGGTGTTGATGGAAGAAAGGACTGTCTTGGCCGAGAGACTGTAGGGCATGTAGAGGCAGGGCTGTAGGAAGTGCCCTCGGGTAACAGACTTAGCTGGAGAGTCATAGGAGACTTGGTTTCCAAAAGCCATTTGGATCCAGATTGTAAAAAGCCTTGAATTTTATTCCATGAACAGAGTAGATCTAGAGGAGAAAGTGAAAAATGTGAAGAAAACATAGAAGAGCTTTATCCTGTGTATTTGATAATCATGGAACCCTGTGCATAACGTGTTAGTTAGGTTGCTGATCAAAAAGGTTAGGGATCTGAATCCATCAGCCCTCCAAGGAAACCAGGGGAGTGTCGTTATTAGGGATCTGAATCCATCAGCCCTCCAAGGAAACCAGGGGAGTGTCGTTATTAGGGATCTGAATCCATCAGCCCTCCAAGGAAACCAGGGGAGTGTCGTTATTAGGGATCTGAATCCATTAGCCCTCCAAGGAAACCGGGGGAGTGTTGTTATGAGTCAGTCACAACCGAATAGCAGTCGGGTTTTATCTGATAACTAGGCTCCTAGGCTACTGTTAAGAAGCTCTGGTGGCACAGTGATTAAAACATTCAGCTGCTGACGATAACATAAACCCGCAAGTGGCTTCACACCAGAAAGATGAAGCAGATGGCCTCCATAAAGATTGTTGTTACGTACTTGCAACTCATAGTGACTCTATGCACAATAGCTCTGAATCCTGCTCTGTCCTGAGCCAATCTCACTGTGACACACGTACTCTGACACATTATACCAGTTATTATGTCAGTCCATCCCACCCCGGGTTGTCTTCTCCTGTGTTGTCCCTCAACTCTTCCAAGTATGATATCCTTCTCCAGAGATTGGTCCTTCCTGGGTACAGGCCCAGAGTACTTCAGACAGAGTCTCAGAATCCATGTCCCTCGACTCTCCCAAGTATGATTTCCTTCTCCAGAGATTGGTCCTTCCTGGGTACAGGGCCAGAGTACTCCAGACAGAGTGCCACCAAGGAGGAGCTCGGTCTCTCTCTCTCCAGAACTGTTAGTTCTCTTAGCAGTCCATGGTGCGTTCAGTGCTCCTCTCCAGCACTACCATTCAAAGCTAATCAATTCTTCTTCTGTCATCCTTGGTCATTGTCCAGATGGATAGCAAACAGTTGGGAAGACTATGGCTTAGATTAGATGCACCTTAGTATCGAGACTGATATCCTTGCTCTCAGCACTCTGGTGAGGTTCCCTGGCAGCAGATTTTCCTAACCAGTTAATCTTTTGATTTCCTGACTACTAGTGCCAAGAGTGTTGATTGTGGAACCAAGCAGGTTGAACTTGTCAACAATTTCAATCTCTTCTCCATCTATCATGATGCTGCCAATTGGCTCAGTGTTGAGAATATTCTTTTCTTGATCTTGAACCATAAAGATTATGGCCTTGAAACCCCCCTGGGGCAGTTTACTCTATTGTAAGCTACTATTTCCTGTCCTGTAAGCTACTATTTCCCATTCTGGCATTGAGTTAATACTATTTTTTTTTTTTCACAGTCTCAATATATCTAAAATTGAGTGTAATAGTCTTCATTTACCTTTTTCTAAGGAACTGTGTTTTAAGTGATGAGAAAACTTAGTAGAGGAAACCTACTGGCCGCCAAGAACATACTTACAGCTAAAAGAAGTCATTGCAGTTAATACTGTCTTGCTTTTATGTTCTTTACGTGATTTATTCATATTAAAGATTAGACAGTGGGCTATGCAAATTTGCACTCTTCAGTCCAAGAGAAAATTTCTGATCATCTCCATTTCCTAAAGTGGCACTGTGTTACCTGGACTCCATCTCCTTTTTTAACTCATTGCTGTCAAGTTGGAACTGACTCAGAGGCAACCCTCCAGCAGGATTTTCAAAGGCTATAGATTAGAGAGAGGAGATTGCCCATCTTTCTCCCTTGGAGCAGCTAGTGGATTCAAACTGAGTGCCTTTGAATTGGCAGCACAACTCCTTATCCATTAGGCCACAAGAGCTCCCCTCCTCATTCTCTTGAATGGAGAAAACCCACTGGCTCTTGTTAGCTACAGCCTGCACAGTTAGTTCATGATTTCAGTCTTGATAAGTGTGAGAGACGATTAGGGAACTTCCTGACAAGTTTAATGTCTTAACTTGTTAATTATTAACCAAGCTTTCTTCTTTGGCCTCATGAGCTGCGCTCATACTTTTGGGAAGATCTCAACACAGATTGTAAACATGGCCTCTAGCGCTCGCCTCGCAGGGGACCCCCTTAACAAAATCAGAACCAATCAGGCAGCAAAGAAACGTCACATCCCCCAAAATTTTAGCCGTTTCCCAGCTTCAATTTAGAATAAAAACCAGATGTTGAGAAGAGCTCTTTGGTGGCCTTCCAAAGAAAATTCACGGTCAGCATCTTCAGTGATGAAACTGCCATGCGTGAGCTTTGACTTCTTTGAGTTGAAGGGAAGAAATACTCGTCAGTGCAGCTGAGCTGGTGGTTTTCTTCTGGAGAGAGCCGGAGCTCTGGCGACCCTTTGGAATGCTGGGCTGCTCTAAATCCCCAGGAAAGCCTCAAGACCAGGCCCATGAGGTCCTGCAGGGTCAGGCTAATACTTTCCTTTCAAAGAGGCCTTGACAGAATGACAGCACAACATGCCATTAGCAAAGAAATAAAAAATTATATAGCACAGAAATTAGAAATGAATTCATCATGTGCACACATCTCTTGCCTCAAGCCTGAATCCAGTCAAAGCTTGTTTAAGATTGCACTAAAGAGTGCCTTTGCATTCATTGCCTGTGGGAAAAAGAATTTTCTAAGCAAACTAAAAACATGTGCAGCATCTCCCTCAGTTTTTCCAAGCCTAAGGGAGAGGGAATGAGTTGACACCGCCTTACTGGGTCCCCTTATATAGGGCCACAGATGTCGGTTGGTGCCGACAGGCATATATGAACAGCCGATCAGAATTTTGCTCTCTCTTGCTTCATCGTCACAGTCCTGTCCCTACTCAGAGCCCATTGTGGCAGTCACTGCCTCAGTCCATCTAAAGGAGGGTCTTCCTCTCTTGCTTTTTTGACTCTCTGCTTTTCCAAGCATGATGTCTTTTTCCAAAAACGCTTCCTGACAACATGCTTAAAATATGTGAGACGGGGTTTCACCATTCTTACCTCTGAGGAGCGCCCTGATTGCACTTCCTCCTGAACAGGTTTGTTCTTTTGGCACTCCATGGCATCTTCAGCAGCCTTTGCGAGCACCCAATTCAAAGGCATTGATTTCCTCATATATTTTCCAACTTTCAGATTCAAAGGAAGCAATTGAAAATACCATGGCTTGGGGCTAGTGCATCTGATTCTTTAAACTGATATCCTTACACTTTAGCACTTTAAAGAGACTCTTGATAGCAGACTTGCCTAATGCAGTGTTGTATTGTTTTTCAGTGTCATCGAATCAAGTGCAACTCATAGCGATCCTTTGAACACCGTCCAATCCTCTGCCATCATCACAATCTCTTACACTCAAACACTCTTCAGCAATCACTGTATCAATCCACCTAGTTGAGGGTCTTCCTCTCTTTCACTGCCCCTGCACTTTTCCAAGCATTATGTCCATCTCGAAGGAATAGACTCTCTTAGCAACATGCCCAAATTACATGAGATGAAGCTTCATCATCCTTGCCTCCAAAGAGCACTCAGGGTGCACTCTCTCTAAGACACATCTGTTTGTTCTTTTGACAGTCCATGGGATCTTTAGCACTTTTCTCCAGCACCACAGTTCAAAGTCATCATTTCTTCTGTCATCCTTAGTCACTGTCCAGCTCTCAGATGCACAGCAAGTGACTGAAAAGACCATGGCCTGAATCAGGGACACCTTAATCCTCAAACTGATATCATTACTCCTCAGTAATTTGGAGAGGTCCATGATAAGAGACTTTCCCAATGCAGTATATCTCCTGATCTGATTACTTGGACCAAGTATATTGATTGTGAATCCAAGTAAGATGAAATTATTGATAGAGTCAGTCTTTCTTCCTCCATCATGACGTTGCCTATCTCGAAGTCACAGTGACAAAGACCAACAACCACAAATTCGATTATGCTTTGCTAAAAGCTGGAAAGGCACCCGATACTTAGAATCCCTATAAGAAGATTTTTTTTTTTATTTTGTTTGATCAAGTTACTATATTTTCCCAAGGAGTCACCCTTTGGTTTGTGACCAAGATGGGGCCAGGTATGTTAGCAGTTGCTCAGCAGTGTGTGTGGTACCTAGTGACGTCAGGGGGCTCATCTGAATTGTCTGTGCTCCTGTGACCTTTGGGGAAGTCGGAGTCTAGGGGAGGCATAGGAAGGTGGCAGAGGTGAAGAACATGGACCTCAGAGTTACAAAGTGATGAGTTAGAATTCTCACTCTGATGTTTTCTTGCTATAAGACTTGAGAAAGGTTAAGCAAACCTTCAACCAGCTTGTCTGCCTGTGTAATAGTGACAGTTACAGCATCTATCCTGCAGGCTTTCTCTGAGGTTAAACGAGGTGATGTATGGAAAGCATTACTGTTAATGCCTGGCTCCTAGCAAGTGGTTAATAAGTGCTAGGAGGTTTCCCCCCTTCATATTCTTATTTCTATTAATGTTATAAAGTGGTTAGCAAGTGAGCTGTAGGAGGCTGCTGTAGCCTTTCCATGATCCTCTGGTAAATTGCTGTTGGCAGTTGGTATGGTTGACACCTTCACATTGTGACAATGACTGGGACCTCAGAAGTGCCAATCTTATTGTCTCCATTTGTGATCTGTTAGATCAACTCCAGTTGTCATTTCCCTTCTAGCCTGTGACTGTGACCCCCGAGGCATTGAGACCTCACAGTGTGACCAGACTACGGGCCAGTGCATCTGCGTGGAGGGAGTTGAGGGCCCACGCTGTGACAAGTGTACCCGAGGGTACTCAGGGGTCTTCCCCGACTGCACGCCCTGCCACCAGTGCTTTGCCCTCTGGGATGTGATCATCGCCGAGTTGACCAACAAGACCCACAGGTTCCTGGAGAAAGCCAAGGCCTTGAAGCTCAGCGGTGTGATCGGGCCTTACCAGGAGACCGTGGACTCGGTGGAGAAGAAAGTCAATGAGATAAAGGACATCCTCGCGCAGAGCCCAGCGGCAGAGCCGCTAAAAAACATCGGGAGTCTCTTTGAAGAGGCCGAGTAAGTAGTTAATCAGCCAGAATCACAATCTGCCAGGTTTTTTTGTTTGTTTGGGGTTTTTTTTGTGTCGCTTCATGAACAAACAGCAAAGGTTTCTCAGCATGGTGCCCGCTCACTTTCCTTCCATCAGAAGGTGTGCTTGGATCTGTGAGTGAAAACAGATTCTGGGCCATTCATTTTCCAACAGTCTTTCCTCTGGGTAATTGGTGGATGAGCCTCTGCACGCCGTGGGGACCAGCATTCTTAAGGGTGCAGCATTGACTGTGTGCATGTTACAGTCAGTGCCCTGCGGGTTATCCATGCCCTGAGGCAATGGGGTGGGAAGAACATTGGATGTAGAGTCAGAAGACCCATCCTTGGGCCAGTCTCAGCTCTTCTCCGTGCTACACTCCTGACCTTGAGTCATTTAATGCCTGAGTCTGTTTTTTTTCTCTTAAAACTTAAACTCACTGCTTTTAAGCCGGAACTGATTCATTGCTGACTCTGTTGGGTTTCCAAGGCTTTAAAGTCACACAGGAGGAGATTGCCCATCTTTCTGCCTTAGAGTCGCTGGTAGATTGAACCTCCTGAGAGGCAAGGTCTTTGTGTCAACAGCTCAAGTTCCTAGGAACTGGGACCCAGAGCTCTCTTCTCTCTTAAGTGCATTTGTATTGGGGTGAGGGTAGTAACGATTTGTCTTTACCTTAAATAATAATCCCTGTTGGTGCCAGTTAAGGCATTTGGCTGTTAACCAGAGGGTTGGCAGTTTGAACTCACCAGCTGCTCCACAGAAGGAGGATGGGGTAGTCAGTTTGCATAAATATTCATACGTAATCACCATGGGCCAGTTCTCTGTCTTCTCCAGGGCTGCTGTGAGTCAGATTTAACTCAGTAACAGAGTTTGTTTGGGTTTTTTAGTTTCTTGAAGCAACAATAAAAAACCCGGTTGCCAGTAAGTCGATTATAACTCAGAGTGACCCTACAGGACAGAGTAGAACTGCCCCAGGAATTTCCTTTATTAGAAGTTTTGTTGTTGTTTTTTTTTAAAAAAAAAAAGCTTCCTTTCCTTTTTTTTAAAAAAAATATTTTTTATTTTATTTTATTATTTTTGTGTGCGTGTACCGTCAAATCAGATCTGACTGGTACAGGAGGAGATGTGCCCCTCCTTCCCCGGCAGAGCATCTGGTGGATTCGAACCGTGCACCTCTGGGATTGTAGTTGCTGCTTCTTGCCACTAGGCCACCAGAGCTCCCCTTTATTAGAAGTTTTGCTGCTATTGGTGGGGGGTCGGCAGCCCAGCAGCTAACACACCACCAGGGCTCCTGAGACACAAGTAGACTCTTAAAAATGTGGCTTTAGCAATAGAGAAGATGCAGAACAAAACAGGGACAGATTTCAAAGGAGTTGTGTGAATGCTGAATGTCGATTATGTCTTACTCTCAGTAGATAACAACCTTCTTTCTTAAGAAAAGTGAAAGGACTGTTTGTTGGTAGAAGGAGGCTGCTTTGATGACCGATTGCTTGAAGGGGGAGTGTGTGAAAAGCAGATTTTGATGACACTTCGTGGTCCTGTTAGTGGGCTGGAGGGCTTCCTCTGAACAGACATGTTCTGTCTTGAAGGCAATCCCTAAGGCTCAGAGAGAGGAACCTTTTTTTTTGGCGGCTGTCCGTAAGCATAATTCTACACTGGGTCCTTTCTAAATCTTTGGACTCTGTGATTGTGTGGGTTTAAAGCTGTTCATCCTCCCAGGTGAAGCTGGAAGGAACTCCCATGTTCTCACCTGTGTGTGTGTTACAACAGACCTAGAATCCCTCAGCTGGATTGTTCCTTCCAGCACACCTGAGTGGTATTTCTGTGTTTTTCTTCAGAATCTTTGAAGAAAAACAATTGATTAGGTTTAATATAATCTATTATGAGGAGACTAAAAGCAGTACTTGAAAGGAATGCATTGTCACAAATTACTGAATTAGTTTGAAATGACACAGAGCAGTGTGGGTAGAAAATGTAAAATTGACAGGTTTTTTTACAAGTCCTACTGGACTCATGTTCCATGGGTAAACGTATCCTTCTCTTCACAGGAAGTTAACCAGAGAGGTCACAGAGAGGATGGCTCAGGTGGGAGTAGAGTTGTCTGACATCAATGCCCAGAGCAACAGCACAGCCGAGAAACTGGACCCCATGCAGGCGGAAGCGGAAAAGCTGGACAGCACAGTGAAGGAGCTCGCGGAGCAACTGGAATTTATCAAAAACTCGGATGTTCGGGGTGAGCGTTGCTTTGGTACATGTTTACGCAGGGACAAGGGATTTAGCCATCAGTCTAGCCATTCAGTACAGCACTTTGAGAAACACCAATTCATCAGCAACTATACATTTCAAGTTGAAAAATCTACATGTTTGTGTTATAAGTTCACAAGTTAATTAAAAAATTTACATAAAAGAGCCAGGAATCTTGAAGAACAGGAAAAGGGGACTTGGTCTATCAGATCCTACAGTGTATTATTAAGCTGCAGTAATTGAGATAGTGTGGTTGTGACACAGGAATAAACTCAACAACCAATCGACATTTTAGAGGGTCTAGGACTCTTTGTGTCCCTCTCACCAGTTCTTTGGGGAATCACAATCAATCATGTGCTTTCCAATCATTTGTACACTTTGGCTCCGCTAGTCTCTGGCACAGATGAAGGTTAAAGATCTCGACCTGCAGATGGGGAATTGGATGGAGCTCAGAAGCACTGGGAAGCAGAGGTCACTGCATTAAAAAGTGTCTCCTGTCCCCTCTCCCAGGGAGTGGGTTAGCCCTCCTAGGCTTTTATTGGGAATACTTCTGCATTTAGACTGATAATTCTGCAAATCCTTTTCATCTTTTAGAATGTTGCTTGGCCAGAAAACTATTCTTACAAATTCTTTGTTTATTTAGATCATTGGTCCTAGATAGAACCCACACCAAACCCATTGCTTTTGAGTCACTTCTGACTCGTGACCCTGTACAACAGAAAACTGCCCTGTAGAGTTTCCAAAGCTGTAAATCTCTATGGAAGCAGATTGCCATGTGTCCATGCCATGGAGTGACTGGTGGGTTTGAACCACTGAGCCACCAGGTCTCACTTCAGAAAAACACCAGAAAGTAGAAATGCCAGATCACACGATTCATTCCTGTTTTGTGCACAGTTGCTTTTATGGGGGTGGCTGGTTCCCTAAAGTCAAACCACATTATGCTGTTCATGCCCATTGTAGCCGTTTGTATGAGTTTAGTTAAATGACTGTGAAAAAGGAAAATTCACCTGAATGTGACAGGTGAACTGCAAAGATTGGGATGATGGTTGATTGTGTTCAAGAATGGCCTCTGTACAGTAGAGTTCATTTTTCACTTTTCGTTCAGGTGTTTGGCTTCCTCCAGACCCAGACCCAGAGCCACTCATTGATCATGAGAGAAAATAGTCATTTCTTCATAAAGATGTTCTTTCTTGAATGCAAAAATAAAATTGTGCAGTAAATTCAGAGCAGCAGACACCACATTGAGAAGATTAAGTACAGTGGGACTGACTGGGCAATTTTATTTCACGCCCTAGGCGCCTTGGATAGCATCACCAAGTATTTCCAGATGTCTCTGGAGGCAGAGGAGCGGGTGAACGCCTCCACCATAGACCCCAACAGTCCAGTGGAGCAGTCGGCCCTCACTCGAGACAAAGTAGAAGACTTGATGCTGGAGCGAGGGTCCCAGTTCAAGGAAAAGCAGGAGGAGCAGTCGCGTCTCCTCGATGAACTGGCGGGCAAAGTGCAGAGTCTGGACCTTTCCACTGCTGCTGAGATGGTAAGGTTTGGGGGCTTGGCATGCCTGACTGCTCTGGTGCCATGCGAGGAAAAGCAAGCTTCTGGGCCTTTCTTTCATAAAAGAGCTGTGTTGGTACCATGATAGCCTCTCTCTTCCTCTTTCTCTCTCCTCTCTCCTCCCCTTCCCTCTCCTCTCCTCTCTTCTCTCTTCTCTCTCCTCCTCTTTCTCATCTTCTTCTCTTTCTCTCTCTCTCTCCCTCCCTTCTCCCTCTCTCTCTTTCACTTTGATTGCCCTCAAGTCTGAACGACACATAGCTGAACCTTGAGAGGGTTTCAAAGGCTGTAATTCACATGGGGAGATTACCCGTCTTTCTCCCACAGAGCTACTGGTGGATTTGAACCATCAGAGGGTTTGCCTTTGGGTTCACAGCACAACTTCCTATGGAATGGACCACCAGAGCTCCTTCCTCCTAAACTTTACACCCTGGAAACCCAGTGGGGCAACTCTCTGCCCTGCACGATGGCTGTCAGAATCTACTGGAGGACAGCAGACTCAGGCTTACCTTTCAGAGGGTTTGCACATGAATCAATAGGAGTAAACCCCACGTGTGTGCGCGCACGCACACACACACACACACCCCCCCACCCAGTTCTCTGGATGACTGTATTAGGGTATATCCTTGACCAAGCTGGAGTCGAAACAGGTCTGTTTCCAGCTTTTCCTCTCTTGCAGCTGTTCCCTGTGGTATAACCAGAGCTGTATCTCAGCTCCCAGCTTACTTAAACTTGATCCGTTTTATACAGTGTACATTTCTTTTTTACTTTGTTCTGTTTCAGAGTGCAAAATCCAGCTCAATGGAGGAATTCAGAATTAACTCTGTAAGGAACTTCCTTAGGAAAAAAAAAAATTAAAAGGAGCCAAGGAACTTTTAAAATTTTTTTTTCAGTGAGTGTTAGCTAAAATGTCCCTTTGTTCTAGTAACTTTACCTGGTGAAGATTGACCGTGAGAGTAGCCTGGAAAGTGGATTCAGTTTGCAGAAGCTTTTAGAAAGTCACCTTGGAGCCAAATGAAATTGAGTAGTGAGATTAATGAAAATCAGACAGAAGGTCAAAAAAGAGCCAAATGAAGCTGCTTCTTCCTCTGGCTTCTTTGTTTTTCATGAAACTAACTAAGACAGCCTACCATTATAATTAGTGAAAAGTCAGAACACAAAATAGAAGTGTCACCTGAGCAAGTAGAATTACAATCAAGGATAACATTTCTTTAGTAAAATCTTAATAAAAAAGTATAAATTCTGTAGTAATAGAAATAATAATGAAAAAAGACATCTTGTGCGTTGATGAGGCTGCTAGCATTCACTGGGCCTTTCCTGTCCTGCCTTTCTAACCTGGTAATCTACTGCAGGCATATGCTAGATGAGGCTATTATTTGGAAAAGGCCGTGATGCTGGAAAGGGTGGAGTGTCAGCGAAGGAGTGGAAGACCCTCAATCAGGTGGATTGACACAGTGACTGCCACGATGGGCTCTTGTGTGTCAGGAAGTGTGAGGATGGCGCAGGACAGACGGGGTTCAGACCTTTTGGATCTTTTGTCCATATTGTCGCTATGACTTGTACTCGATGGCACCAAACTACAACAATCTACCTTAGCCATATCCTTTAGTTTAATATTGGTATGTTTTTAAATCTTAAAATCTTTGTTTGTGTCTTTAAATTGTTTTGTTGTTGAGAATGTACAGAATAAAACGTTTGCCAGTTCAACAGTTTCTCCATGTAGGACGGTTGTGCATGTTCATCCTCCCTCATTAAGCTAAACTCATGAGCCCTTCAGCTTCCCGTCTCATACAGGTCTATTAATTTTTTTCAATTTCTTTTTAAAGTTTTTTTAAATCAGTTGATCCTTAAGAGCTCGGTTAAAGATAGTTTTACACAAGGTATTTTTACAGAAGGCCATTTCCTTGTTTAAAGATTGATTTTTGTCCTCTTGCGTTTTCAAGTACCACGAGTCCTTTCTCTGTGTGTGTATATTTGGCTAGAACCATGCATTGTTCCTGTGGCGTCCGCTGAAACAGAGCAGGCCTTCTAGTGTGCTGGCAGGCTGTTTCTGGAAAGCACCCCTCGGGCCTTACGCTTCTCGTCTAAGTTCCACATTCTCTTGTTGCACGAAGCATGAACTTTATTCTCAGAGGCTTTTTATGCACTGTAGGCCAGATCTATGAAAGCCTGTTTATTTTCGTGACTAACTTGAGATATAATGGACTTAATTTTTTTTTTTAATTGTTAGTCTAATGAGTTTATATCTAGTAAAAAACTTTTTTTAAAAACAGTGTTTTTCTTGTTTGGAAATACTAGCTATTGTTCATGTCAAGAAGCCTTTTGCCTCTTTTGAACATGGGCATTTTCCACAGAAGGATAATTCTACTTATCATTTTCTTCCTGTTCCTTTTTTTCCATCATATAAAACACTGACATTTTTTGAATTTGTGTTTATGCCATGTCCATTCCGTAATCTTTGAGAATTTTAAGTAGGTAAGGAGAGCGTCTTTGTATGTGTGGAGGAAACGGCATCCATCGGTCTGTACTGTTTTCTCTGTTCTTGCATCTGAAATATTCTCTTTCTTCACCTCCTTACCTCTCACCATCCAGCAAGGCTTCCCCAACTACTACAACCCTCCCGTCTCATTCTTCTGCTCTTTTATACTACCTGCACTTCACCTCTTTTTGCCTGATTTATGTGGAATGAACCCTTCATCCTCACGAGATGAAAAGCAACTTAGTCATCAGTTAACATGGCGCTAGCCCCAAAGGGTTGTAGAACCTGTGTATTTTTTTAAAATTTTTTTTTTTAACCTGTGTATTTTAAGCAGTCTACCCCCATGTGATTTAGAGCCTCTGAAATGCAACGGAGCATATATTTATGAGTTAGTTCAGTTCAACAACAGTGAGAGAGAGAGAGCGAGCGGAAGGTCTGGGAACATTCCTTAGCTCTCACATGGGCTGAATTCAATTGGCAGATAGAACAGACAATGTTTGCACCCTGAGTAGAACACAAATTTGTGTTCCAGTTCATTAGAGGAAGACAGTATCGACAAGGGATTGCAAATGTTCATTGTTTCTTTGGTAATAAGCAGTTAGCTTTTCCCCCAAGTGATTTCTTCGTTTTTCTCTCTCGCCTGCCTCTGACTATAGTGTCTTCAGGCATCCTTGCTGAGGACCACCTGCGTACTCTCGGGGGCCACCCAGGTCCTGCACAACTGTCCACTGCAACAGGCTCACTGTCTGATCCCTGTGTCTGCCCTGTGCTTGTTACAGACCTGTGGAACACCTCCAGGGGCCTCCTGCTCGGAGACTGAGTGTGGTGGGCCGAACTGCAGAACGGACGAGGGACAGAAGAAGTGCGGGGGGCCTGGCTGTGGGGGCCTGGTCACTGTTGCACACAACGCCTGGCAGAAAGCCATGGACTTTGACCGAGATGTTCTGAGCGCCCTGGCCGAGGTGGAACAGCTCTCTAAGATGGTAATGCATGCATTGGAGGGACTCGGTTAACTTCAGTTGTTTATTTTCTTGGTTGAAGTGGGGAGTGAGGAATCTGAAAGGGCAAAATCAATTCTAAACTCTAACTCCAGTGACAGAATTAAACAATCAGGTCTCAAAGTGTGTTTTCATGAAGAGAAAGAACTGAAGAGGGGTTTTGTTTGATTTTCATTTACACATAGTTCAGCAATTTGCTTTCTTGTTATTCCTGAAGGGGATTAATGAAAAAATAAACAGTTTGTCTTAGATTGCCAATAACGTAGTATAATCATGTTCCCTATCATAGGTCCCAGATCATGAAAACACATGGCTATACCTCTGTAATTCTGAATAAATGACACCTTTGTTCTAACGTGGCTTATACAGTTACCTCTGACGTATTTCTTCTGGTCCCTGAGACAGAGCAGTGATTACCAAATGTTTGTCAGGAGTTAAAGGGTGCAAAGCTTCAAAAATGGTACATAGTAGGCCTGTCAATAGGAAGATTATAGACGACTCTTTCTACTGAATACTTTATCTGTATAACAAGACTATCTTTTGCTGAAGGGAAGAAATTCGTTGCCAGATTGCAAATGCTTGTTTTTCACCTTCTGGATCGTTTCCACTCTTCTGTTCCTCTTTAGTAAGAGTGAGGCTGATCCGTGGCTAATTTATTCCTCATATTTAGGTCTCTGAAGCCAAACTGAGAGCAGATGAAGCAAAGCAGAATGCTCAGGAGGTTCTGCTGAAAACAAACGCTACCAAAGAGAAGGTGGACAAGAGCAATGAGGACCTGCGGAATCTGATCAAGCAAATCAGAAACTTCCTGACCCGTAAGGACCTTCTCCTTTGCTGCATCACCGGGGACATGTGTTTCGATCTTAAAATAGAAAACTGGCATGACAAGGTTCTCTGTCCCCCTATTTCAAATAAACCAGTTTCTGACAGGGATGATATAGCATTTTCAAATAAGAAAAAAAATCCCGTAAGAGGGTTTTGCATGTCTTTAAGAAGCTCATGCACATTCATGTATATAACCTTCTCCTGGTTTTCACAGATACACACCCGATGAGTGACACAGATAACAAGTCTAACTCAGGGCGAACTCGATTTGGAGTTTATATCAGTGATTACATAAAATGGCATTAAGATTTTTCTCTCCAGGAGCCGGAGTTTGGTTTTGTGTTGTCTCCAAATTCTGTATTCCTAGTGTTTCCAGACCCAGCTCACAGGTACCGCTGGTCACCATTTGCATCCTATCAGTGAGGATGGTTTGGACTGAATTCCGTTCATCTGGAAGCATATTTATTGTCACACAAAACAGATCTTCATGGGATAATGGACCTGTGCCGCTTACTGTCTTTCTGCTCTGCCGTCTAGAGTATACCAGCTTCTCAGGCGCGCACATGGTAACATGACTTCACTGGAGAAACAGAACAGTATCTAATGAAAGCTCTTTGTAAGAGGAAACCTCAGGAGTACTGACGTCATTCTCAGGGACTCTCATGGGCCAGTAATGAATCATATGCCCAATGTCACCGGCAGGCAGAATGGACATGTTCAAATTGATTAATCAGGATTTAACTCAGAGGTGGTATTACCTTTTTTTTGAGGTAGATGTCAGGGTTCTGCTAGGAAGGAAGCAGGATGGCTAAGGCGCCAGGAATATTTCGTTAACATGGCTAGCTCAGGAATATCCTACGGAAGTTATCATTCAGTCCCCTTTTCCTTAGTATTAAACACACTGGGCTCCAGTTTTGTTGTTTGGGTTTCTTAATATGGAAATGAATGATCAGAGGTATTTTAAGATTAATATCCTTGTTTTTGACATTTCACATTTGACTTTTGAAACTCCCTGACTTCTATCCTGGTTCTTCTGATTCTCTTCCTGGATCGTGTCCTTTTCTGTAAATTAGTTCATTTATAAGGAAATTCACCTTCCATGTTTGCATTTATAGTCATCTCTAAACTTTTTTTAAAAAAACAACCACTGTTTTTTTAAGGGCGTATATCTTTTTTTTTACATTTTAAAAATTTTATTATTTTGTGTGTGTAAGTACCGTCAAATAGGATCTGACTGGTACAGGAGGAGATTGTCCCTCCTTCTCCAGTATAGCATTTGGTGGATTCGAACCGTGCACCTCTGGGATTGATTGCAGTGCAGCTTCTTGCCGCTAGGCCACCAGAGCTCCCTCATCTCTAAACTCTTATTCCAGCCTCAGTTTTAAATATTCTCAGTGCCTTTTAGGATCAGGCTTCAACCCTAGTCTCTGTGGTTTTCCCAGTCTTAACCCATCTGCTTAGCAAAACTTCTATGTCCCATGCTTTGCCCATACTGCCTTCCATCCAGAAATGTCCCTCTTCTAAATTGTGTTTACTCTTCAAAGCCAATTCAGGCCCCTCATCCTCCGTGAAGCTTCCCCTCCCTGTACCCCAGCCTACTCCAAATCTCAGTAGTATGTATTGTCTGCAGTTAATTTTTCATGTGTGTAAGTCTCATCTCCTCAGTAATCCAGGCCGTACATTTAAAGAGCTTGAAGACACAGCTTACGTGACGTGTGACCGGAGTGCTGTTCACGCAGTGAAGACTCACTGATAAGCAGCTGAATGAGCGAACCCGTCTCTGCTTTTCACAGAGGACAGTGCTGACTTGGACAGCATCGAAGCAGTTGCTAACGAAGTGTTGAAAATGGAAATGCCCAGCACCCCAGAACAGTTACAGAACCTGACGGACGACATCCGGGAACGAGTTGAAAGCCTTTCTCAAGTAGAAGTTATTCTACAACAAAGTGCCGCTGACATTGCCAGAGCGGAAAGTTTGTTAGAAGAAGCTAAAAGAGCCAGGTATCTGACGACTTTAGGGCATTCAGGTGGCTGACCTTGAATACACAGTGTGGAACTTATGTGTGCTGCTTAACCAATGGCATTCTTAAAAGTGACCCCAGGGTAGGGGCAGGGGGCATGGGAACAGCCCACAGTGCTGTGTGTGACGCGGTCTGAGTCATTTGCAGAAGGCTGTGCATTAGATGAAATGTTCTTTGTATTCAAAAGGAGGACTTTTTTCCACACTCACATCTATCTGCTCATTCTTTTAAACAGCAAAGGTGCAACAGACGTTAAAGTCACAGCAGACAGAGTCAAGGAAGCCCTGGAAGAAGCTGAAAAGGCCCAGATTGCAGCCGAGAAGGCAATCAAACAGGCAGATGAAGACATCCAAGGAACACAGAACCTGCTGACCTCGGTGAGCGAGCAGTCATTGTTGACAGGAGAAAACACCTCCATACACTCACTTCCCAGAAAGGCGCATCTGATCGGTTGCTATGAGGAAAAATTTAACATTAAAAGATTCTTTCAATTTAAATGTAGCTGATGCTATAGCATGGATGCTCAAAGTGAGCAGAGGTGGGTTTTTGAGGGGGAAGAAATTCTGAGGATACAGGAACATTAAGTTTTCTCCCCCACAAAAAGCCTAAGAGAGAGAAATACACACACTGGCTCTTCCTTGAGCAAGATTATGGCTGTAGTCTTTATAATGAAGCATTTCTTTCAAAACCCAGTTTGAGCTAAAAAACAGCATACACAGTTAAGTCCACAGGACTCTCAGTTTCTCTAATTTGGAAACCGCTAAAAAGGAATGAAGGCCGAAAGGTCTGCTAATTTCTGATGCTCAGTGCTAGAGCAACCTCATAAAGACAGCTTATCAATCTATTCAGACTTAGTGGAAAACAGTGCTGTGCTTTTTGTTTGTTCTTTTGTGTGTGTTTTTTAAAACACATAATAAACAGAATACTTCAGAAATTGCCAGGTATTTAAAGGTTCTAAGAATTTTCTTAAGGCTTTAATGCTTTACTCACAAACCACTCTTGACTCTTAAAAGAATACAGATAATTCTATTTCTTTCATCTATTCATTTTCTAAAAAGCAGTTCTAGAAAAACAATTTTTTTCTTCCAACTTTAGACAAATTTCATTTGCTTGTAAAACAAAAATAAGTGAAGAAAATTGGCAACTCCTGCAGTCTCTCTGTTCTCACAGTACACTGTGAAATAAATGCTCCTGGTCCTTTGCTCCACTGGCCTTCACAGGCTGACCACTCCTTGTGTCACTTCCTGAGAGGTGATTTTGCACTGTTCTCTTCTTACCACTAGTCAGTACAAGCCTGTTCTCTTGTTCTCAGTGAAATGACACCTGGCATCTCTTTAGCCATTTTCTTAATTTTGAACATGTGTCCTTCTGCTCAATTTTTAAAAAAGCTTTTTCCATTAATCTGTATGCTCTAACCTTTTAGTTATGACTTTTCTATCTCAAGTCTTTTCCAGTTTCTCCATTGTTAACATTTTAGGGAGCTCTGGTAGCCCAGAGGCTAAGGCATTGATTGCATTGCTAACCCCAAGGCAGGTGGTTCAAATCCACCAGCTGCTCCAAAGGAGAAACATGTACAATTTACAGTTTCTGCAAACCTTCTGGAGGCTGTGCTATGAGCTGAAATGTTTATAGCTTTCACATCTATCTTTCCTAGATTTTATGCTATTTTTTCAAGCTTTTAAAGGACCATTCCTATGTCTTTAGCAGTTAGCTGGAAACATACATATTTAACTTCCCTGGTAGTTTCTGAAATGTCATTACCTCTACTATGAAACATTGAGAGTTGATAGGAAAAACTAAAAAAGGACAGGAAGGCATAACTCACACATTCCCACCCACATTAATCTGGACATTTATGTGGAAATCCCTCTTCTCACATCTGCTGGTGAAGGTTTCCCAGCCCAAAGTTGCAGGTGTCCATAAAATGCTTTCTCAACACATTAAGCTGCCCGAGGGAGGCTCTTGCTGTAAGCAAGGAAATACTTTACACGTATTTCAGTCCAGAACAGCAGAAATACCAAGATAATAGAGTAAACATAAGTCATGTAATCAAGACTAACACGAGGCACTTTTTAGTTAAGATTTCCTGCAATTCTTTTAAGCTGTGTTTTCCGTCTCCTTCAAACCTGTGTTTATAACCCACCTGCCATTTTTTATATTATTATAATAAAATCTGGCTTGTTGGATGCTTGACATATTTTTTAATTAGATCGAGTCTGAAACTGCAGCCTCCAAAGAAACCTTGGATAACGCCTCTCAGCGCATCAGTGAGCTACAGAAGAATGTGGATGAACTTAAGGACAAGGCCGCCCAGAACGCTAGGGAGGCTGATTATATTGAAAAAGCTGTACACGATGTGAAACAAAACGCAGATGATGCGAAGAACGTAAGTAGATCCTTATACTTCCATTGAAAAATGAGCAGCCAGCTCCGTACCTGCCTTGGAATTAATAAGGGTCACAGATCGGCCGAACATTTTTTTTCATTAAAAGCATGTAGGAAAATCTTCACGGGTAAGGAGCTGTGCTGCCACCCAAAGGCAAGTGGTTCAATTCCAGCTAGAAATGTCACTTCCCTATTGGACCATAATGGCAGTGTGCACAGCACACAACCACAATCTTCTGACAGGCCAAGGCAGAGACAGTGGTGGTGACTGCACCTTGTACAGAGCATCACCCTCGTCTGAATGAACTCGGGGAACAGTTTTCTCTAGGCTTCCATCTCTCATGCCAGATTCCCATTTTTTTTTCCATTTTGTACCAGTTCATCCAAATTTTAAAAATTCAGCTCTGTGCCAAGTTTCATAGCATGGGCCACGGTTAAACCACCTTGATGTCCTGGTTTAGGGCAGTACCGTTCTCCATAGAAAAGTGCTAAGAATCATGACTATAGAAAGAGGCAGAGTGAAACACCCTATACACACACCTCCACCCAGGTCTTGTGCTTGGTTTGTATTGTGAATGGGGTAACATGGCACGAAGGAAAAAGAAAAAAAAAGTGCTAAGAATCAGAAAAGAACAAGGACTTAGTCCTTTCGTGATTCTGAAATCTCTTTTAAATGTCTACTTTGTAGAAATCATACCAGTTTTAAGGACAAATACTAAGACCATTACTGTAGAATGAGTATAAGGATCCAAATGGGGGGTGTGGGGGGAGCAGAGGGGTGAGGATGGGCGGGGGAGTGGGGGCTGGTTAATCATAGGGTTGCACAGTTTGATGGGTGGAGGGAGAAGGGATGAAGCAAGTAGGAAAGATCCGGTGTTAAAAAAAAAATGTGCGAACTTAGTAAATAAACCAGTACAAAAACAAATGATCAGTTTTTAGAGTCAACCTACTGTCTCAATACCATTGAGTTTTTTGATGACACCCACATACCACTGGTGGTCCTTAATCTAGAGTGCCTGACCTGCAAGTTAGTACGTTATGTGACCATGCTGTCAATCTTCTGCTGTTCTTCCTGGTACTAACACTACCACTGCTTTGTGTCTAAACCTGGAACTGCAGACTCTGCAGCGTGAAGTGGATGAAAAGTATAAGCAAGCAGAAAATGAAATTGCCAAGAAGACCGAAGAGTCAGCTGATGCCAGAAGGAAAGCCGAAATGCTACAAAATGAAGCAAAAACACTTTTGGCTCAAGCAAACAGTAAACTGCAGCTGCTGAAAGGTAAATATTTTCATTTAGGCTCTAGTTTCGCAAATTAGCTTTACAGTTTAGATCCTTACAGAATTTGTCTTTAAGAGCTCAAAGTCTGTTCCCTTTGTCTTAGGTATTTATATACAGCATTATAAATTAGGAAGACCCAGGTAAGATTTTGAAATCCTACAGTATGTATTATCTAGCTTTACCTTTTCATGTTCTCTCCTGCAGATTTAGAAAAAAAGTATGAAGACAATCAAAAATATTTAGAAGATAAAGCTCAAGAATTAGTGAGACTCGAAGGAGAAGTCCGCTCACTCTTAAATGACATAAGCCAGAAAGTTGCTGTTTACAGCACCTGTTTGTAACAGAGCAGGAAAGAGCTGGTGGTATGTAAGGCGGCTGAGGGGACCAAAGAATAGCTACAATTTAAAAACTGACTTAATGCTCTTCAGAATAAAACACTCAATACCTATTTAATGTTTTTAATTACCAGATTTTGTATGGCGTTAAATAAAGTACAGTTCTTTTGTATAAATGTGGATTTAGCATCCTTCTTAGACTCATTGGCACCTTATTGATGTGGTGTCCATAAAGCTCTATAAAACTGTTTTCTCTGTAAAGATGGCTTTCTAACCAAGTCTGCTATCTCCCTGGAGACTCTACTTGCTGTTATGTCCAGAAGAAAACAAGCTTGCTAGATCTTCCTCCTCCACAAATCCACTCCCCAGCGAGAGTCCCAGGCAGAGGTTAAAAAGGAGCCATTTAGCCAGGACTTCTCAGAAACAAAAGTTCTAGGGAATCAAGAAAATAAACTAGACTATATCAGAACAGATTATGGACATCATGCCTGTTCAGTTCAGCAGTAAGTACAGAAGGATGCTTTAATTTCTCAGCATTTGGTTGTATTTTACTTGGCTTCATTCACAAACACACCCACACACAGACTTACTCTTGCAAACAGAGCAAGGCAACAGCGCTTCCTAAAATTAGGAAGGGTGTGATCAAGGTTGTATTCTACCTGTTTAATCTGTATGTTGAGAAAATTATTCAAGAAGCTAAACACTATGAAGAATGTGGCATAAAGATCAGAAGACAACTTAGTAACCTTCATTATGCAGATGACACAACCTTGCTTGCTGAAAGTGCACTTGCTGCAGAAGGCTGAAGTGTAGCATTCAATATGGATTGCATCTCAGTGTCAAGAAAAATACTTGCCACTCAACCAATAGTCAACATCATGATGAATGAAGGAGGGATTAGACTGTCGACGACTTCATCTTACTTGGATCCACAATCAATACACTTAGTACCGATCAGGAGATACTCCTCTGGGAAAGTCTGCAGAGACCACTTGAAATTATTGAGCAATGATGTCAGTTTGAAGACTAAGGTGCACCTGATCCAGGCCATGGTCTTTTCAGTCTCTTGCTATACATCTGAGAGCTGGGCAATGAATAACAGAAGTGATGCCTTTGAACTGTTGTGTTAGGAGAAGAGTACTAAATATCCATGGACTGCCAAAAGAATAAATGTTGTAAAGAAGGTACAGCCAGAGTGCTTGTTGGAGGCAAAGATGAAGTAGCTTCATCTCAACTATTTTGGGCATGTTTCTAGGAGAGGTTATAGTCCCTGGAAAACAACATAATGTTTAGGAAGCTGGACAGGAGGTGCGGTGAGAAAAGAAATCCCTCGACCAGGTGAGTTGACATGGTGACTGTGGCAATGGGCTTAAGTGTCAGAGACTGTGAGGATAGGGTAGGGTTCAGATCAATTGTTCATACGGTCGACTCCGTACCACCACCATCACCAGTGAAATTTTCTTTGCTACAACCTGTACGAGTGGCTAACACACCATAGTCACATCTTCTATAAATCGATGGCAAGCTTGTTACAGATGAGCTGGCAGATTAACAGGTTTCCCCCAACATATCATTTTTAGAGTAAGACCACACTCTGCATCACTCAACCACCAAACATACTCATAGCTGTACTTGAAGTTGAGCCTCCATCAGGGAAACAGGTGTAATTTAAACAATAAAGTAACTTCACTCTGGCCCAGTCCAATTACTTACCATTGCTGTTTGGTGCCATCAGTGGACTACAACTCAGAGCAAGCCTATGGACTCTGAAGCTTGACATTTGCCCTATCCTGTGCCATCATCTCTGACATACATGAGTCTATTAATAGTCACTGTGTTGATCCGTTTGGAAGGTCATCTTCACTGATCTTTCCAAACATCTTTTTCCAAGGAGTGGCCTCTCTCCTTTCAAGCTCAAAATTTTACCAAGTTTTGTGAGCCTTGTCTCTAAAGGGCACACTGGCTGCACTTCCCGAGACATACTTGTCCACTCTTCTCCAATACACACAACTCAAAGGCATCAAGTCTGTCATCCTTACTCAACTTCCAGGTGCACAGGAAACAAAAGACCATGGCTTGGATCAAGTGCACCTTAGTAAACGGACATTCCTACTCGTCAGCACTTTGGGGAGATCTTGGGTTTGCTAGTGCAACATGTGTTTAGATTTCCTGTTACCAAGGATATTGACTATAGATCCAAGTCAGATGAAATCACTGGCAATTTCCATCTTTTTCTCCATCAATCATGTTGCTTATTGGTACAGCGTTAAGGACTTTTGTTTTCTTGGTGTTAAGACATAATCATACCAAAGGCTGAAATCCTTTATTTTCTGCAGCACATGCCTCAAGTCTTCACTTTCAGCAAGATTGTGTCAAATGCCTAACACAAGTTGAGTCCTTTGATCCTGATGCCATTTTTCTCCATAGCATCCAGTTTTGCTAATTTTTGTTCACCAGAATGAATAGGTATGGATAAAGGGCATGGCCCTGCTGCACAATTTTGATGATAAACCATTTCCTTGCTGTTTAGACAAAAGTTACTTGCACGATTGTATGTATTTGACTTTAAATGGCTGGAACTGCCATTCTGTCCCATTCCTTTCACCTTTTTCTGATCCCAAACTCTTCACGTGTTCTCACCTACAAGATGATATGTGAAATTTTAAATCAGTGCTGTAAATCGGACATCATTCCCATCCTTCACAATCGCAGATTTGAAGTGTAGCAGTAAGTGAGTATTTAAAATGTGCTTTATTCTTAGAACCTTATTCTCCCCCAACAGTGAACTGTTGTTAGCACCCTGTGCACAGCACAATGAAGCCCTGCTGATCCTACACTGTCCACACAACTACTGCTGTGCCCAGTGGTGCAGCCACTGCCTCAGTCTGTGTGGAGGTTTTCCTTGGGCCCACTACCAGTCATGTCTTTTCCAGGAGCCGGCCAATTCTGATGATAGGCCCAAAGTACATGAGACTGAGTCTCCTCAGTCTCACTTTTAAGGAGCATTCCTATTTCTGCACATTTTCCACAGCATTTGTTCTTTTGGCAGTATTCGGTATTCTTCGTTAACACAAAAGCTATTAGTTCTTTGGTCTTTCTGAATGGGAGCCCTTAAAAGCTGCAATTAGCTATCTGTTTAGCTTTCTAAATTCTGTAATTTCATATGAAAATATATTTCACTGTTCCGAGATAGCACTGGTGGACTAGCAGAAAGGAGCTGCAATGCCAACCCAAAGACAAGCAGTTCGAATTCACCAGTTGCTCTACAGAAGAAAGATAAGCAGTCTCCTCCCATGTGGTTTTTCCAGCCTCTGAAAACCCACTGGAGGGTCAGCTATGAGCCATTTCTGTTATTTCTGTTATGTGCCATCGAGTTGCTTGCAACTCACAGCGACCCTATGTACAACAGCCCTAAACTCTGCTCTGTCCTTTGCCAATTGCACTGTCTCTGACACACCCATCCCGATTACCCCAGTCACTGAATCAATCCACGTCATAGAGGGCCTTCCTCTCCTGTGCCGTCCCTCCACCCTCCCAAGCATGATGTCCTTCTCCAAGGACCCGTCTCTCCTTACAACATGTCCAAAGTATGTTAGACGGAGCCTCAGAATCCTTGCCTTCAAGGAGCTGCCCAGTTTAACCCTCTCCAGGATGAATCTTTTCTTAGCAGTCCATGGTACCCTCAAATGGACCATTTCTGCCTAGAGAACATATAACCACAGTTCCTAAAGAGAAACTTTTTTCCTTCAAAGTAGGGGGACATTTTGAAGTTTAAATAAAACTACCACTTCATATAATGGATTTCAACACATTTTTAAAAGATGTGGAGTTCACCTCTAACTATGGCAAAGTGGCACTTATCAAACCAATCCTATTAACCGTAAAGCCAAGCTGAACAAGTTAAAGAGTAGAAAGCCACCAGAAACAGGCAGGGAGCTGACACTTTAAAGGGTCATTTCTAAAAAAAATTTTAAAAAAAAAGGGTCATTTCTCACTTTGGTTACCCTACCACCTTTCCTTCATGGGGAGACTCTGGTAAGCAGCAACTTCAACAGAAAGCTAGGCTGAATGGCTCGACAATCAGGACAGTCAGGGAACCATGGCAGTTTGGAAATGAGGGTAATCCAGGACAGAACACGACAGAGGAAATGACAGTAATTTCAGCTGCTGCTCACGACAAGTGAGTGTGATTCAGCCAAGTTCCTGCCTGCTAACACAAAAAACTCTGTATCAGAACACAATCCATAATATTTACAAGAAAATTAAAATGTGACTTCAATCTAATGCAAATAAAATTGGCACCTATTAACATTTTTACTACTTCTGGTTGTGATCAATTGATGTGAGAGGGAGGGAGGGACAGGCAGACTAATAACCTTTTTAAAATGTTTTAATATTGTTTTTAAATGTAAAAAAAACCCAGAAAGAGTAGCTATGTTAATGTAAACAGTCTACATTACATCTAGGCCTGGAACAGCAGGAATGTTAAGATTCCACACTGGAGACAGCCATTAAGAACGAGGAAGGATCATCCTGACAATGACTCACAATGACCAGTAAATCAAAGACCTTATTTATTTTCACATCCTTACATTCATTAGTGTAACAGTTTTCATTTCTTTGTACATAATCCCATTAATATAGGTAGCTATATAATGAGCCTTCAGACTTGCACATTTAAGGTTCTAATAAAATGGAACCTTAAATATCTCTTCTCAGCCTCAAAGCTGCAAGAATTTAGAGGTTAAATAAATGAGAACATTTTTATTTACATCAGTTCAGTTTATACATATTTGACTTATTTTAATGACTGATTTGTTTCTAGTAAGAAAACCAAGTTTAAAATAACTTGATAATCTTGCTTCAAACACAACTGTTCATGTATCATACTCCAGTTCCATCAATTCAAATTTACTTTTGGTATCAGGGTAAGAGCTACTGTGTATATATTCAGTGAAGTTGAACCTTTCATAATCAGCATAAAAACAGACTGATGGACCATTTCCAGGATGCTACTAAAAGTAGCTTTTTAAAAAAATATTAATGTACTGAAACAATATTAAGTTCATTTAAAATACAGATGTGGGATTATTCCATTCTGTCCAAATTTATTAAATACCTTCCAAAATGTTCTTTATTTCAGTCCCAGAAATTTTTGGAGCTATGAGCATTTCCCTTTAAGAAATGTAACTTCCATAATAGCTCCCCAGAGATTGGGGGGGGGGGCAGAATCTTCTAATTTAAAAGTTGATTGGTTTGCCAAATGACGCAGCCAGATTTGCTTCTCTAAAAGCTTCTGATAGGGTCTGCAAGGGAAAAACAATTTTAAATTAAAAACCAAGTCTTTGTGGGTCAGGACATTTGAGTAGCTGTTAACTGTATACACTGTTCATAGTTACCGGATGTGCATGGCAGACTCGTGCAATATCTTCACAAGATGCCCCGTATTCCAAAGCAAGAGCAGCTTCATTTACCATTTCTCCAGCACCCTTGAAAATAATCAGCAAAATGGCATTTTATTTCTGTGGCAAAAAGAACCATGTGCTAACAGAATACCAGATGGTTAGGAGAACTGAATTTAAATCTTAAAATAGTCTTATATCTTTTTATTTGTTACAAACTCCCTCAAAAGAGCTTAATAAATCAACAAACATACATACATATACATGTGAGTATGAACACACGGGTCTGTGTGTACAGACAGGTTATATATAGGGCCACATACATAAATAACCACATACCTAGGTATGTCTGCGCAAGAATGTATTCTCATACAGCTAATAAACCACACAAGGGACAATTATGTATACTTCTTAGACATAAATACCTCGTGAAACAGGTTTTCTGGTTTTGAAGACATAGGACCATAAACTCATTTAACTGGCATACTACTGTTCATCCAGCACACTACATCCTAGAATGCTAAGCAGTGTCAAGGGTCTTAAGGATTTGCAAGCATCCATCTAAAATACGACTATCAGGAGTCTATGCGTGACAAAAACATTAAGCATATGCTTACATTCGCTGATCTCCACTCATTTGGAACAAAAGAGAAAGAAAACAAAAGACTCTGCAAAGAAACTGGCGTACAGACTTACAGTCTACGTGAACAACTAGAAGGTGAAGCCTCTAAAAGCATGACACCAGGACAGTGACCAGCTACAACTGAATACTCTGATTAGTGCCACAGAAATGGATTCTGACACAATGGGAGAGCTATGTGAAACAGAACACAGATTCTTTAAAAATCCATACATTCTGGACTGGGTAACAAATACTAGAGAACTCATTAAGATTACAGCCCTGAAATACTAAACCAACATTATCCCATGAAGTCAATTTTGTGCTAAACAACAGACGTACTCATAAAAAGAGTTAGCACTCCTAATTAACCACGTCTTTAAAAAACTGATGTGAAACTAAATTGTTAAAAAGTATTCTAAAGATTGAGAAGATAGGGGGGAGGACCTGTAGGGAAATGAGATGACTGGAAATGGTACAACCTGAACAAAATGAAGGAAATGGGTGACACTGAAACCTGTAACCAGCACCACTGAGTGTGTAGAAATTATTAACTGGAAACCTAATTTGATGTGCAAATTATCTCCCGAAACCTAGCAAACTGTTTTCAAAAGAAAGAAAACTTTGTTCATTCACCAGTGAAATTAAAAGTGTGGCCTCTGGAGCAAAACCCCACCATTTACTAGCTTAATTACTCACTAAAGGACACAGAAAAGTTCCTTGGTCACTAAAATATAAATAGCAGCATCTATGTCACAGAGCTATTGTACAATGCAAAAAACTTAATGCAAACACTTAGTAACATCATTACATAAATTAACTGGAAAACAAACTTCAGACCAAACTGCTCCTCAGAGAAATAGCTGAGCTGCAACTTGAATAAGGAACCAGGTATTACAGTAGAAGGTCAACAAGAGAAATGACCCTCAAAAAAGATGGATTCCCCCCACAATGAAATGAATGGGCACAGTGACTGTAGCAATGGCCTTGAACATAGTGACAGGCTCAGACAAGGTTTCGATTCATTGCTCATGAGTTCTCAGAGTCAGGCAAAGATCTGGAAGCAGAGAATTCTAGGCAAAAGGACCCATAAAATGAACACACTTGCTCTGCTATAAAACTGAGATTAGGCTCATGGTGAGAATTCATGAGCACAGGAGAGGGCAAAGAGAGGAGGTCAACAGCATGCAGGAATAGAGCCACTGGGGCCCTGAGTCAAGTAGTCAGAAAGCACAATGGGAAGCACAATAGAGAACGTCAAGCAGTGATGTAGCCTGCTGAATGTCTTAAAGGCATAATATTTGTTGCAATGTTAGTAGATGGAGAAGAGTGGGAGAGGGGTAGGACTGTGAGTGTGTTGTTGGTATCAGGCTGGAAACAAGGTTTAGGTGTCATATTAAGGCTTTTGCTAGTTAATTAATAAGAAAGCTCTGGGAGCCTGCAAGGCAGGGAGTTGGACACCAAATACAAAAGCGTTCAATCTTAAAAGCCTCTGAAAAGCCACTGACGGGTCAGTTATGAGTCAGATCAGATCTGATGGCAATGAGTCTGGGTCTGAGTAGTTGTTAACTCTACAGTGGAAATGATGTTGTGTTGGCTGGTGCTAAAGGTAAAATTAATTGACTAAATAGGAACGTGTTCCTAACAAGTCTGAAGCTTTACAATACTCACTGGTCCTAAAATATGTGCTCCCAGTACTCTATCTGTTGATTTCTGCCCAAGAATCTTCACCATGCCGTCTGTGTCAGCATTTGTCTTAGCTCTGCTGTTAGCAGCAAATGGGAATTTCCCAACTTTATACTCAATACCCTGTGAAAGAGAGAAAAAGAGAACCCACATAAGCAGTAGAAAATACTCAAGACCACGGAGGCAATTCTTCATGGATTATACATAAGAAAAAACCAACCGCTGGTTAATTACTAAATTTGGGGGCACAAATTCAAGTGAATGTACTGTGGTTACTTTTCAAAGTCAAAGTTTTGGATTATGGGCAGCTTATCCTCTGCTGTGTATTACTGCTGATAAACCTAAGGAGTGAATGATCTCTTCAAAATGCTAACAAGGAGGGAAACAGACATAAACCTTGGTATGCGTTAAACCAACATAGATGGTTCTCAGGTATATTCTGGGTTCTCTTACAGTAACAATTTCTGGCTACTAGATCACCAAAAAGAGACGACTACTACTACAAACAATGTTCTGCATTTGTACTTATTATGTGCAAGTTGTTTATGGAGGCACATTAATTTTGCTAATAAAAAAACAAAAAAACCAACTATTTTTAAGAATAAAAATGCCCTTTGTGTAACTACCAGTGTCATTAGCTCAACTTGCCTAACAGTGCAGAAAGCATTCACATTGGGATTACCTCTTCTTTCAACTGCTCTTCTGATTTGCCAACCCAAGCAACTTCGGGATGAGTATAAATCACTGATGGGACACAATTGTAGTCGATGTGCACGGCACCACCAGCCATTCCCTCAACACAGATAATGCCTTCATCCTCTGCCTTGTGAGCCAACATTGGACCAGCAACCACGTCACCAATCGCATAGATACTATCACAGGAGTCAAAGCAAACAAAGTCAACTTCTCAGGTACATTTTTTATTCTCTTACGGTTACAATTTCTGGCCATCAGATCATCAAAAAGAGACTGAATGGTGCTCTCCAGAAATCTATGAATGAGTTCATGTTTAATCTTTGGGTAATGAAAAAATTCAGGTATTTTTAAATTCTTCAATACCCTTCCGCCAAATCAATACATACTTTAAAAATGTGATTAAGACTCTTTCAAAACCGTGATATTAGAAAATACATTTTTAAATTATTAAAAAGGCAAAGACTGTCCAACTTACTTTGGAATTTTAGTCTGGAATCTGGAATTCACTGGAATTCTACCTCTGGGGTCGAGCTCAATGCCAAGTGCTTCTAATCCCAAATTCTGAGTAAAAGGTCGTCGACCAATGCAAACCAGGAGTACGTCACAAGTGATAACTTCAGCCTTTCCACCAGATGCAGCTTCAATACTAGATAATGAGTAACGTATTACTGTTAAGAGCTTCTACATAAATAAACGGGAAAATGAAGACCAGATGGATGTTATTTTAACAAAGTTTATTTTATTGCAAACATAACAAGGATTAGGAAATGAAAAACAGGCACTGGAGGACGTAGTGACCTAGTTCACACGGAGTTGTGCCTCTCCAGTGGTTCGAATCCACCAGAGCATCCAAGGAAGAAACACGGGCAATCTCCTCCTGTGTGACTTACAGCCTGGACACCAGTCTGAGAGGCAGCTAAATGGGTTCCAACTTTATGGCAATGAGAGGGGACTATCATTTAAACCACATAAATTCAGACTGTAAAGGCTGTGTAACCTGGGCAACTTATTTCATCAAATTATAGAAACATTTAACAAGTGGAATGCCAGACACACAGTCCACAATCCAACTGCTGTTAACTATTATGGAGAGCAGAGATCAGCAAATGGATGGGTACGGTGAAGGGAAAGAAAATGGCATTGGACAACTGTAATTAATGTTAAAAAACAAAATATATGAATGAGTGAGTGAAAAACTAATTTTAAAATAATTGTCCTAAATGTTTAGAGTATTAAAATTCCAGAATATATACTTTGAAAAGGTGCACTACTGTACTGACAAAAACGGTTTCTTTTTTTCACACTGTCAACTTAATCATGAATTTCAATGGACTCATTTGATAAACAATATTGAGTTAGGTTAATGTATTAAGATGTACTCAAGTAACAAAAATCAAATTTGCTAAGGTGATATTAAAACTTGAGCTTTTCTTAAACACACGAACAAGTGCATAAAAAACAAACCGCATACTTACGAAACATCAATTTTTCCATCTGACTTCTTGGTGGCACCAGTAACCTTTGTATTCAATTTAAATTTAAATCCCTGTCTCTGAAGGATCCGTTGAAAGTTTTTAGATATCTCCATATCAATCCCAATTCCACCAACATGACCCAAAAACTCAACTGCTGTCACATCTGCTCCAAGTCTTTGCCAAACAGAACCCTGTAAATGACCATTTTTAAAAAATTATTAAAAACCCTCAAACATTTCTATAGCACATTTTCACTAAAATATTTCAATCACTGTTATTTTTTTCCTCCCTTTACCAGTATGTTTCTTTTAGGAACTCTGAGGTTTAAAACCAACCCTGTATCAAATGTATGCAACTCAATATATTCATTCATTCATTTACTAAGCACCTACTATTTCCTGTAGCCTTCATTGCTAAACCCAAGTCTGGCAGTTCAAACTCATCAGCTGTTCTAAGGGGAAAAATAAGAGATAGTGTGCTTTCAGAGTAGAGCCTTAAAAACCCTTTGGGGAAGTTCTACTCTGTCCAGGAGTGTAGCTGTGAGTCAGAACTGATTCAATGGCAACGTTTCTGATTACTGTATTCTAGGTACCATTAGTAGGTGCTAGGGGATACTATGAGTGACAAGCGACTCGACAGCAAATAACAGCAGCAACTAGGAATGCATTAAGTAAACAAAAATCTCTGCCAAGGACTTTCCATCCTGGCGGTGGTACTCCTCTTCCTCACTGCTGCCAAGTCAGAATTGACTCAGAGCTGACCCCTAGCAGGTTTCCCAGGCTGCAAATTGCATTGGAGGACAAGATCCATCTTTCTCCCAAAGAGACACTGGTGGATTCAAAGCACCAGAGAAGCATGCCCTTTGGGTTAGCAATTTCCTATGGAAGTGGAACTCCTGTCAGGACAAGAAAATAGTAAGGAAAAAATAAAGCAGGAGAGCAGATTAGGATGAGTGGCTATAATTAACAACAGTGTGGCCAGAGAAGGCTTCACTGGAACAACATTTGCATCAAATCCTGACGGGGAGTGAACCACACAAATAATGGTGAAGAGTGTTATAGGCTCTCTATAGGGAAGGGAGCAGCAAATACAAAGGTCCAAAAAGAAAGACAGCAGATGCTTACCATACTGCTACTAATTACTGACATTTGTAAAATGTTAAACTAACTTTCTAATTTATTTTTTCAAGGAGGGAGAAATACCTTTTCCCTCCACTCAGATATAAACTGAGAGTACTGGTATTTTCTTTTTCAAATTAGATTTCTTTAAGGAATTATAATAAAAGATGTTATGCATATTAAAGAAAGTATTCTCCGGATCTCCACTGACAATTCATCTTGACAGACTGAACTACTGCAAAGGATGCCAGTAATGGAAATGGATCTATGAGACCCAAGTACTAAGCATTAAGGAAGGCAACTTTGGTTCAAATATCAATAAAATTCATTTCCTGACTTCCAAGAGTTCATGACCTTACGGGAGAGGCACAAACATATAAAGGCAATGCACTGTTCTCACCAAGTGCTACAAAGATGTTGACACAGTGTATGGAGGAAATACTTGAGCTTTCCTGGACAGAGAAGAGTTTATATCAAAAAAATAACTTTTAAGTTTTGGTAACTAGTTATTATGTCAACAAATTTATAAAAAATACAGAAACAGCAAAGAGCATCTAAAGATCACGTAGGATGGTCAGGGAAGGGCTCACACAGTGCAGAACTGGTGAAGGTGAGGAAATGTTCTAAGTGGAAGGCAGGCCTACAGGAGAGGCTGTTCAGTAAGTAGTGTTTTCAATTTATGAAGATCATCTGAAAGGTTTATTCAGCTGGTGTTATGGCCTATTTACAAGTGTCACATTAACAATATTAAGTGTTTTGGGATTCTCATTCTTCTCCATCTCAGACTACTGTATGCTTGATCCAAGTCAAGGTATTTTCAATTGCTTCACATGCATCTGAAAGTTGGATGGTGAATAAAGAAGACTGAAGAATAACTGATGCCTTTGAGTTATGGTGCTGGAAAAGACTAGTGAATTTCCCACAGACTACCAAAAGAACTAACAAATCTGTCTTGGACAAGTGTAACCAGAGTGCTCGTTATAGGTAAGGTTGGTGAAATTTGACCTCAGATCCTTTGTGCATGCTGTCAGGAGGGGCCGGTTCTTTGAAAAAGCACATCATGATGGGAAAGGTAAAGGGCCAAAGAAGCCTCGTAATGAGATGGACTGAGACAGTGACTCTAACAAGGGGCCTGAACATGGTGCAGATTCAGAGTAGTTCAGGACAGGTCAAGGTCAAGATCTGTTGTTCATAAGGCTGTTCACCAGACACAGTCAACTGACATGCACCTAACGACAAACATCTGAGAGGGAGAAGCTAGAAATGAGGCTAGTGAGGTGAGTCAGGGTCAACTCACGCTGTTAAATAACAACAAAATGTTTGGATTTACCCCAATATAAGAGTGAAGCAATTAAAATATTTCAAGCAGGGGGAAGTCATTAAATCTGCATTACCAAAAGATCTCTCCAGCCACTATCAGGAAAAAAAAGATTGGAAAACAATGGAAAAAACCAGGGAGACCCAGGACAGGGTCTGAGCTAGGATGTAATCGCATAACTGATAAGCAAATAGATTCAAGTTATCTTTCAAGCAGAATCACATTAGGACCCAGGGACTGGCTAAATACAAAGCATGACGTCATAGGCATGCAGTCAAGTATGTACTCCCAAACTTCTCATTTTGCTTTCTACACAGATAGATCAATCACTGAAATATTTTAATCAATCACTGAGATGGAAACATTAGCCAAGAAATAGGTTTCATTTGTTCTAGGGGGTTACATCATTATACATTTGCCAAACTGTGTGCCAGTGAAATACACAGACAGAGATGCTGGGAGACATCTAGATATAAAAGTGTAGAGATACAAGAGGGAATTAGAATGCAGATGCTCCCACAGTGGGAGTAAAGAGACGACTCTGTAGAAAGACAAAGAATCTGGCATAGATCTTAGGAAAGGATCTCAAGTAATATGAACAGCATAGAGAAGGCTGAGGAAGAACTCCGATAAGAGGATGGAGAAGTGTTGGCCCAACGGGGGGATGGAAAACCAGCAGAGTATATAATCAGAGAAGCAGCAGAAAGGGTTTAAAGCCAGCAATACAGATGGATGCCAAATAAAACAGTGAAGAAACTACTCCACAGGATTGGACAATTAAGTTCATTTGGGTCCCCATCAAAAGTAACTTAACGGCGGCAAGGCTGGATTCCTCACGCAGAATTTAGGGAGGCACCACCATGCACGCTGTACAGTTTTGCTTTTCTCCAGAGTGCAGCAAATATGGCCTGAGGACAACATGAAAAAGGTAGACAACTGTACTGAACCTGGACTAGAGCTTTGTCGAAAAGGAGAATGAACAGAGAGCAAAGGGCTCAATGAGGACATATGAAAAAGAAAGTAGTTAAAGTGAGACTGTAGAATCTATGCTGACTGGCAATGTAGTGTTAAACAGGAAATGGCAAACAGGGAAAAAAGTAGAACTCAAGAATTAGAAAATCTAGTTAAGTGAAAGAGCTCTTACATTAATCACTGAGCAAAAAAGACGACTGGTTCAAGAGTAGAATGTCTGAATGAATGCCTTCAGAGGAAAGGCAACTCAATTACTAGGGCACAAGCACCTCGGAGAAAGAGACCTAAAACTGGAGAGAAAAGGAGATTGTCAGAAACAGGAGAAGGTGCCACATGGACAAGCAAGAACTGTGCAGCAAGAGGGGAAGAAACCGCATGCAGTTTCGGGGAACTGAAAATAGGCTGACATTTCTTACAAGTAAAGAAAGTCTTCATCTAGAAGGCAACTTGTTCAATGAGAGTTGTCTTCAAAGACCTAAAATGTTACCAAATTTTTTTTTAAAAAGGAATGAGATCACCCATGTTGTTGTTGTTGTTATGTGCCGTTGAGTCGTTTCCGACTCATAGCGACCCTATGCACAACAGCCCTAAACCCTGCTCTATCCTGCGCCAACCGCACCGCCTCTGACACACCCATCCCGATTACCCCAGTCACCGAATCAATCCATCTCATAGAGGGTCTTCCCCTCCTGCGTTGTCCCTCAACCCTCCCAAGCATGATGTCCCTCTCCAAGGACCCGTACCTCCTGGCAACATGTCCAAAGTATGTCAGACGAAGCCCCAGAATCCTTGCCTCCAAGGAGTAGCTTGGTTTAATCCTCTCCAAGATAAATCTGTTTGTTTTCCTGGCAGTCCAGGGTACATTCAGTACCCTTCTCCAGCACCACAGCTCAAAAGCATCCACTCTCCTTCTGTCCTCCCTAGTCATTGTCCAACTCTCTGATGCATAACAAGCGGTTGCAAAGACCATGGCCCGTATCAGGCGCACCTTAGTCTCCAGAGAGAAACTGTTGCTCCTGAGTACTTTAGAGAGGTCCCTAACAGCAGACTTTCCCATCGCGATACGCTTTTTGATTTCCTGACTGCTGGTGTCAAGAGTGTTGACTGTGGAGCCGAGCAAACTGAAGCTGTGAACAATCTCAATCTCTTCGTCATCCATCCTGACGCTGCCAATTGGTCCAGTGGTGAGAATCTTTGTCTTCTTGACTTTGAGCCTCAGTCCATACTGAAAGCTGCAGTCCTTGACCCTTCGCAGCAAGTGCATGAGGTCCTCAGTTTCAGCAAGCAGGGTTGTGTCATCTGCATAACGGAGATTGTTAATAGACCTTCCACCAATCCTGATGCCACAATTCTCCTCAAAGAGCCCAGCTTCTCGGATAATCTGCTCTGCATACATGTTGAAAAGGTATGGAGACAGGATGCATCCCTGGCGTACACCCTTCCCAATTTTGAACCATGCAGTGTTACCCTGCTCTGTTCTGACTACTGCCTCTTGGTCCAAGTATAGGCTTCGTATTAGCACAATTAAATGTTCTGGGATTCCCATTCTTCTCAGAGTCAGCCACAGTTTGTTATGATCCACACAGTCAAATGCCTCTGCATAATCAATGAAACACAGATAGACATACTTCTGGTATTCTCTGCTTTCAGCCAAGAACCATCTAACATCAGCAACAATATCCCTAGTACCACGACCCCTTCTAAACCCAGCCTGGACTTCCGGAAGTTCTCTGCTGATGTGCTGTTCTAATCGTTTTTGGATGATCTTCAGTAGAATCTTGCTTGCATGTAAAATCAATGACACTGTTCTGTAGTTTCCACACTCAGTTGGGTCACCTTTCTTTGGAATGGGAACAAATATAGATCTCTTCCAGTCAGTTGGCCAAGTGGTGGTTCTCCAGATTTCTTGGCACAACTTGGTGAGCACATCCAGGGCAACATCTATTATCTGAAATACTTCAATTGGTATACCATCTATTCCTGGGGCCTTATTTTTTGCTATTTCCTTCAAAGCAGCTTGAACTTCTTCCTTCATCACCATAGGCTCTTGCGCATATGTTATTTCTTTAAATTCCTCTGTATCTGCCAATTCCTTTCTATATAATGACTCAGTATATTCCTTCCATCTTCTTTAGGCAACTGAAATAGTGGATGATTACAGCAAAGTATGTTTCAAACACAAGATAACATTCTAATTATTTAAGTAAATAAAAGCTTTTTTGAAAAAAGGTCAACCTTCATTACTGGAAGTGTTCAAGCAAAATTAAATGCTAATCTGCCTCAGAAGTAACACAAAAAATTAAATAAGAACCTTCCAATTCCACAGAGGTCATTACAGATAGATACCACTTACCAATTCTACACCTATTACTCCTGCCCCAATCACAACCATCTTCTCTGGAACTTTTTTTAAAGACAAAGCACCTGTAGATGACACTATTGTATCTTCATCAATCTATAAGGAAAGCAAAGGATACAATAAAAATTACTCAGAAAAACATAATGATCTATAAACTAATGCAGTAAAGTCACTAAAAATATCATTTAAGATATTTATGACTCTTATCCATATGTCAAATGTTGTCAAATTCTATTAAGGCACAACTTTATTATTATTATTTTTATTCTTAATTTTTTGTGTGTGTACCGTCAAATCAGATCTGACTGGTACAGAAGGAGATTGCCCCCCCTTCTCCAGCAGAGCATCTGGTTGGGTTTGAACCACGTATTTCTGGAATTGCAGTGCAACTTCTTGCCACTAGGCCACCAGAGCTCCCTTAAAGCACAACTTTAAACATTTTATCATTCAATTGCATCAAAACAAAATGGCCAATTTTAATACCATATGCCTAAGAAAAGCTGGACAATGAGTAGGGATGATAGAAGGAGAACTGATGCCTTTTTGAGTTGTGGTGCTGGAGAAGAGTACTGAATTATTATACTGTGGGCTGCTAAGAGAACAAACAGGTTTATCCTAGAGATACCAGGCTGCTCCTTGGAAACAATATTTAAGGCTTGCTACAAGGAGTGACCAGTCCTTGGAGAGGGACATTGTGCTTGGGAGGATGGAGAAACAGCATAAAATAGGAGGACCCTCAACGAGATGGACTGATTCAGTGACTGGTGTAATGCGAGTAAGTGTGTCAGAGATAAAACGGTTGGCACAGGATAGAGCAGGGTTCAGAGCTCTTGTGCACAGAGTTGCAAGCAACTTAATGTCACATAAGAATTAAATTTAACTATATGCCCTCTATGAGGTGGATTGATTCAGTGACTGGGATAACTGGGATGGGAGTGTCAGAGACAGTGCAACTGGCACAGGACAGAGCGGAGTTTAGGGCTGTTGTACATAGGGTTGCTATGAGTCGCAGGCGACTCGACGGCACATAACAACAACATATTTACTATGTTGTGCTGTTATGTGCCATCGAGTTGCCTGTGACTCATAGCAACCCTATATACAATACCTCTGATGCCTGTACTGTCCTGAGCCAGTCTCACTGACTCTGATACAGCTGCCTCATTGCCCAGTTACTGGATCAATCCGTCTCATTCGGGGTCTTCCTCTCCTGCACTGTCCCTCCATCCTTCCAACCATGATGTCCTTCTCCAATGACCAGTCCCTCCTGGCCACAAATCCTAGCCTCCAAGATAGACCTTTTCTTGGCAGTCCATGGTATGTTCAAGACTCTTCTCCAGCACCACAAATCAATGGTATCAATTCTTGTTCTGTTTTTCTTAGTCATTATCCAGCTCCCTGATGCATAGCAAGTAATTGCAAAGACCATGCACCTTCGCCTCTGGTCCAAAGAAATATATATATTAAGTCTGGTCCAAATCTCTGCAGAGTGAACACCAGCAACTCTCCAAAGATGACTAACTGTCAAACATAGCATTTCAGGAAAACAAAGCAAACCAAAAAGACCCCATCTCAAAGTTGATAAATAGCAGATATTAATTTACAAAAATGTTATTTATAAAGACAAGTGGTACATTAGAAATCATAAATACCGTGATTCCAGGAAAGGGAGTAACTTCTGAACCTGTAGCGATGAGGATGTTCTTTGTATCAATCACCTGAGTGCTGCCATCAGCCTTAGAAGCAGTGACCTGATTTTTGCCAGTTATCTTCCCATATCCATTGACGTGAACAACCTTTAAGTGTTTATAAAATCACGTTTAAAATCATTTTTTGAGAAACATGATTAACAAGAACCTTTCTTTTATATTAAAACAAACTTATCAAATATAAAATTTTCTTCTTCAGTAGTCTTCAGTGAACTGATAAAAAAACAACTCTTATAAATTAGAGAATGTTATTTCAGATTAGCATGTTGTTATAAGCTTAAAACTATCCTCCAGTAACAGTCTAAATCTCATCCTTTGCTGTAAGAGCATAGATTGTTTAACATGGATACAAAATAAAGCAGTAATGTTAACATTAAATGCACTGACCTTGTTCTGTTTGAATAAGTGGGCGATTCCACCAGTTAAAGCTTTTACTGCAGTACTCTTCTGTTCCATCATCTTCTCTAAATTCAAGCGAACTTCAGACACTGTAACATGTTAAGAATCTCGAGTTCTTATTTAAATTCTTGAAGTTATGTAAGGTATTCTTCACTAATCAGAGTCTGGAAAATTCGAGCCTAAAGCTTATAACCCTGAAAACCTATTTGAAGGTCTTGAAGAGTCGAAACTGCTGCACAGCAGCGGGTTTTATCGTTCTGGGGTTATTTTTTTTTTTTTTTGGTATGACGTTAGTCTCTAAACACCTACTTATGGTTGGAAAGGACTGAGCTAGAAATGGTACAGTAAAATATCACCTAGATTTTAAACAATGTCAAAAGCTAAGTTATATGAAGAAAAAACTCAACAAAAATACATTTCTGAAAATTTCAAATGGCGCTTTAATAAACTAGATTCTAACTCAGAAAAGAACTCCAAAAGAATGGAAAGATAAAAATATTCCACTCAATAAAATTTTAGAAAGGTATCTTAGAAACCAGTTCAAGCAACCAAAACCTGCCTTTCAGAGTTGAGAAAACAATGACCCTGAGAGATTCTTGCTTCACAGACAGATACAGAGTTCGAAAGTGAGGCTTTGCCTATTGTGCGGGTCTCCTGATTACCCTTACTGCTTCTTTCCTTACATCATTCCATTTTTCATCTAGTCAATATATTTGCTTTAGTGTACACACATCTCCTCTCTATCCACAGGACTGCCTATACCGCAGCTCCGTCTTTCAGAAGCCTACTGCTGGGAAAAAAAAAAAGAAACAAATGAAGGAAAGTAATACCCCAAAGTATGCTTTAGACCTTCTCTACAATTTGCCCTTCTGCAAGTAATTATCCACAGCAAGTCCTGGAGAGAGAAGATGGAAATGAAAATAGCCCAAAAGATGACAAGGAATAAGATAAAATCGAAATGTTACAAAACACACTATACCTTTTTATTGACAACTTTGAACGGTAGTGCTGACTGGTGTACAATATTAAAGATTCAAGAGACTATCTGAAGAAAAACCAAAACATCTGTCTTTGATGAAGTTGTCAACAGAACCTTAGAAGGGTGGAGTGAGCCAGACAGGTTATCACAACTTCTCAATCTCTACACAAAGTGATCATGGTTCGAAAAGCAGAGGGTCAGCAAAAAAAGAGGAAAATTCTCAATGAGATGAACTGTAGTTCATCTGTGAGCTACAGTAGTGGGCTCAAACAGCACAAACTGAAAGAATGGTACAGCATTTCCTTCTGCTGCACACAGGGCCAATGGCACCCACCAATAATCACTCAAGCTTCTCTTCTGATCTTTTCATTATCAACAACATGGAGCTTTCTTTCTCCCTTTCAGGGACCCAGCCTTCTGAGTGAATGTTTTACCAAAAAATAAACAGAGGGAGGGGGACAAGGTGGGAGATTTCAATCAAGTCTTCAGAGAACAAAAGCTACTATGGTAGAAATACATATTTAAGGTGTTCCAAAGTTTCTTTCTCTACACGCTCATGAATCTCGTTCTTCCTCATTAACACATTGCCGCAAATGACAGCAAAACACGTTTCGAAGCACGGTCATCAATCTAAAAGTGTGCGGCAAAGTGTAAACAGACACACATATACATTGTCAGACAAGAGCCTCCAGTCAAGCACACCTATTAATAATCTTAAATATGAAATTATACTTACTTTCAATTCCTCTAGATGCAAAATCTTTTCCATGAGCCATATGGTAATAATGAGAATTATTCAACAAAGCCTAGAAGAAACAAAAAGATAAAATTAACAAATGCTCATAAACTGACTATATATATGATCGAAAAACACAAAATTCTCTAAGTGAAACAATACATAGGACAATTCAGTACATGGTAGTTGCTGCTGTTATGTGCTGTTGAGTTGCCTGTGACTCATACTGACCTTATGCACAACAGCTCTGAAGCCTGCCCTGTCCTGAGCCAGTCTCTACCTTCTTTACCCAAGTTACTGTATTAATCCATCTCATACAGGGTCTTCCTCTCCTGCGATGTCCCTCCACCCTTCCAAGCATGATGTCCTTCTCCAAGGACTGGTGCCTCCTGGTGACATGTCCAAAGTATGTGAGATGGAGCCTCAAAATCCTAGCTTCCAAGGAGAAACTTAGTTTCATTCTTTCAAAGACGGAAAGAAAATTTGTTCTCTTGGCAGTCCATGGTATGTTCAAGACTCTTCTCCAGCACAACTTAAAGGCATCTATTCTTCTGTCATCCTTCGTCCCTGTCCAGTTCTCTGATGACTGTGAAGACCAGGACCTGTATCAGGCCCACCTTGGTCTCTAGATTGATACCACTGCTTCTCAGTACTCTAGAGAGGTCCCTGAAAGCGATTTTCCTTTGGTTGTAATCTTACACAAATAATCATTATGAAACACAAGCACATGCTGACTTTCTTTAAAAGCAAAGTAATAGCACATCAGGGTGATTGGTGTAAAAGGCAACTGTTTTTAGTCAAAAAGGACCCAGAAGGAGAATTTACTATCAATTGTCTCACTGAATAGAGGAAACTAAGAGGAAATTGCAGGAAATTATTAGAATGGAAAGCTTAGGCCCTGAGACAAGGAAGAGATTTCAGGGAAAACTTTTTATTATCTATTTGTTTTGGGTATGTATGTGTATTTAATTGTATTATTCTAATGTTCATTCTTCTCTCAACACATCTTTTAGTTGGTAGCTACCAACAAACCACTGCATTGTACAAAATGCATGCATACCTTAGAGGGAATGCAACCAACATTCAAGCACGTTCCACCAAGAGTGTCATTCTTCTCAATGCAGACTGTCTACAACAGAAGAAAACAGTTTTTGGGTTTTTTTAAGTTTAAACACATTTTATTTTTAGACAACCTATGACATTTTTTTCCCTTTAAAAAAAAATGCCTCCGCTCCATTACCTACATTGTTTCAATTCATTAACATTCTAAATAGAGATGTCTTAATTCTTCAAAACATGCTTCCTAAGTTGTGCATTTTAGACAGAAATACAGTTCTTTATAAACTGCCACTCTATCAAGTTAATTCAAAAGTAAATTATTCTAACAAATATATTTGCTTAATATGGCCAAAGACCACTTTCAGTTCTATCACTCCATCTTCCCAAACGTGATTAGAAGCCAAAATGAAAATTACTGGGAGTAAGGAGGGAAAAAAATGGACTTTACTGTCTAGCCCATGAAAATATTATAACCAAACAAACTCTTTCCTCCTTAGATTATTTATAGAGTCAAGAACAAAACCAAATCACCCTCCAGGGTGAATGCAGACCTTACCTTGAAACCTAACTGGGCAGCTTTAATAGCAGCAACATATCCTCCGGGACCAGAACCTATCACTGTCACGTCAGCATCAACTGCAACGAAAAGAAATTGATATAATAGTAAATTACTGACAACTCATTAGATAGAGAAAAAAAAAATATATTCAACCTCCAAATAAACAGAAAACCTAACATTCTCCACAATGTACTATGTTTAGGTATTTGATCTTTTTTTATTATTATTAAATATGGGTTTTTAAATCTCATTTTCCATTTATTCACGATGATGTATGTAGACACAACAAAATTCTATACATTCATACTGAACTCACCGACCTTGCTAAACTCTAGAGAATTTTGTGTTGTTTTGTTTGTCTGTTAAATATATATTTAACAAAATATTTGTCATTTCAACAATTTTGACATGTATATTAACTACGTTTACCACAGTTTAAAGATTTATGGGGAGAAATAATTAATAAATTATTTCTAAATTTTAAAACTTCAGTCAAATTATGCCCTAAATACTATCTATTAATACGAATTCTAAGGGGAGCTCTGGTGGCCTAGTGGCAAGGAGCTGCAACTACAATCCCAGAGGCACATGGTTCAAATCTACCAGATGCTCTGCCGGGAAAAGGAGGGACAATCTCCTCCTGTACCAGTCAGATCTGATTTGACGGTACACCCACACACAAAAATGTAAAAAAATAAATAAATAAAATAAAATATGAATTCTAATTTCTTAGCTTTATAATGTTTTAGATTTTTTTTTTTTTCTCCTTGTGTGCCATCAAATCGGATTCGACTGGCACAGGAGGAGGTTGCCCTTCTTCTCCAGTGAAGCATCTGGTGGATTTGAAAGATAATGTATTTTCTGAGTCAACAACATGAAACGACAATAAGCCCATGTATAAAAATGAGCATCACATTTAGCTTGGGGAAAAAAAAATTTAGTAAATAAACCCAGAAGTGAACAAGATAAAAAAAAAAGAGTAACCAAGAACAAGGAGCCTGGGTGTCTGAATGGTCAGCATCAGAACCCACCACCCACCAGTCTCTCCATGGGAGGGAGTAGCAGTCAAAGGTCACAGCCTCAGAAGGGCTATGGGGGCAGTTCTACACCATCCTAGAGGTTCACCACGAGTCAATCAACTTGACGACAGTGAGTTTTATTTCATTTGGAACCAAGAATCCAGGCTTTTATTTCCCAATCATTTTAACTGTAGATTTAAAAAAAATATACAGAAAATTCTAAAGACTCAAAATAATTTACCTCTTACCGAAGTTACTAGATAAACCGTTCTTTTACAATTCTACTAAGTAGAAAAATGAAGGACTAATAGTTGTCATCCACAGATTTGTCAGCAAGACTGTAGTGTTAAGTGGCATCCACTTAACAAAGATACTAAGGCTGAGAGCAGCTTAAAAACTTGCACAAAGTGGCACCATCAACCTCTTCAAGTCTTGGTGCCTATGCTTATATGCCATTATAGAATATGGGCATGTTGTTTTTGTGTGCTGTCAAGTAGGAACTGGTCCATAGCTGACCCTCCACAGGGTTTTCAGAGGGAGATTGCCCATCTTTCTCCTGTGAAGCAGCTAGTGGATATGAGACTGCAGTGCAGCTTCCCACCACTAGCCACCAGAGCTCCCTATATAGAGATATTTGTGTGTGTGTGTGTGTGTGTGTGTAATAATTTACGCATTTAGATTACTACAAATAACACGTATACAAGTGTGTATACACACACACACACACACAAATATATATATAAATATATATAAGCAAATGGTATATATACACCATTCTGTTATCTTGCAAGACACTCAGATGATTTTAGAATATCCACAATGAACTCCATATAATTAGGTGTTATTTCTTATCAGAATAAAATCAGTATTACTGAAATCAGAGTATCTACCCTGTGAAGAAGGAGCCTAGTGGTAAGAAGCTGCACTGCAAAACCAAAGGCACGTGGTTCAAATCCAACTGCCCCAGGAGAAAAGGATGCGTAATTTCCCATGCAATTTACTACCTCTGCAAACTCGCCAGAGGGCCAGCTAGGAGTTGGTTCTGACTCACACAAAAACAACCTATTGTTAACTGCCTTCAATAATCTTGTTGTTGTTTGTTGTTGTTATGTGAGTCAAGTTGACTCATAGCAACCCTGTGTACAACAGCCCTAAACTCTGCTCTATCCTGTGCCAATCACACTGCCTCTGACACACCCATCCCGATTACCCCAGTCACTGAATCAATCCACCTCACAGAGGGCCTTCCCCTCTTGCGCCGTCCCTCCATCCTACCAAGCATGCTGTCTCTCTCCAAAGACCTGTCCCTCCTTGCAACATGCCCAAAGTATGTTAGACGAAGCCCCAGAATCCTTGCCTCCAAGGAGTA